GTTATCATCCGTGCCCAGCCAAAGGGGTGGATGGATGAGGATTTGGTCAAGGACTGGATCGTGAAGGTCCTGGCGCCTCACATCAAGCCGCCACCAGGAAAGCCCAGGCCTCAAAGCATGTTAGTGCTTGACTCCTACCGTGGCCACCTCACCGAGGGAGTGAAGCAGACCCTGAACCTGTTCAAGTTCACGCCTGCAGATATCCCAGGGGGCTGCATGTTGATCCTGCAGCCGTTGGATGTTGCTGTCAACAAGTCCTTCAAATCCGGTGTTCGAGGCGACTACCAGGACTAGTTCACCACAATCGGCATCAACTCCTTCACGCGGGCCGGTATGCATTCACCTCTTATGCCGTCTTCCTGCGTACCCTGCAGCTCTCGCTAACCACATCCTGTTTATTTCCACGCACGCTGTCACACTTGGCAGGAAACCTGAAGAAGCCGCGCCAGAAGAGATCCTACGCTGGGTCGGCAGGTTTTGGGCTGCCGTCCCTGCTGCACTGATCCAGAAGTCCTTCAAGGTGTGCGGGATCTCCAATGCACTAGACAGCAGCGAGGATCATCTAATTCTCCACCATCTCAAGGAGCAAGCCGCGGAGGAAGTCGACGTGACTGACGACATGGACCCCGTCGGGGCTGACGGTGACAACAGCACTATGCGCGACGCGGCAGAGGAGGATGACGGTGTGGAGGAGGCAGAGGATGACGAGGACAAAAACGATGATGCTGCATACGCTGCCTCTGTAGCGCACGACCCCTTTGAAGACTACGAGGAGGAGGAGCCTCCTATGCCGGAGGAAGCAGAGCGAGCTATTGAGGAAGAGGCTTGGGTGCCACCTCGTTTGACCATGGCACAGCGAGTCTCCGCAATGGAGGAAGACTACGGTGATAGCGCCGCAGAAGAGGAGACTGAGAGCTCTGACGAAGAAGCCGTTCGCAGGAAGCATGATGATATGCTCGACTGGTGGTTCTCCTGCTAGAGTGGTAGGGTTAGATTAGCTACAGAGGTGAGCTGACTATAGTGTAGTTGAATTCAGATCTCCTTAGCTCACTATGTGACTGCTTTGCATGTTATTAGATAATCTTGGCAGCATAAAACCCGAAAAAAACAAGGGGGAGGGGGGGGTCTACACTAACGTCTTATAGCACGGAGCTAAAATGACGGGTCTTATTAGTCGAATACCATAGTTAAGTACCCCCATGCCAATGGGACCCAGTGGGTACTTCAAAAAATCGGTCTTATATCCGGGGTTTAACGGCATGTTTGACACACCCCCTAGGCTAGATGAGGGGGAGTGCCTAGAAATCAACACACGGCTCAGGGTGGCACTACTAGTCCAGCCTCTGAGGCAAGGGTATGAAGACCAGTCAGCAAGAGTACAAGCTAAACAAGAGCAACCCAGGGCGGTACTACTAGCCCAGCCACAGGGACAGAGGCCACAAGGCCAGTCAAGAGGATATAAAAGGAGTACACAATCAGGGTCCTAGCAAGTGAGAAGCAATAGGAACTAGACCAATCTGTACACAGTGCAACTAATAATCTTTAGGCGCAAGCGCCTTCGTAAAGATATCAGCTGTGTTGGCACCGGAGCCAAGTGTACTACGCGAGCCTGGCGGCGCTGCTGCAGCTCGCACAGGAGGAAGTACCGCAACTGGATGTGCTTCGCTCTACCTTCGAGTCGAGGCTCCTCACACAGGAGGATCATGGCCCTTTTGTCAGCATACAGGACTGGGGCAGATCTGGGCCGCTCACCTAAGTCGGTGAGCAAGAACGTCAGCCAGCGGAGCTCCTGTGCCGCCATGGCACCAGCGTAGATCTCAGCCTCACAGCTAGACTGGGCAATAGATGAGAAGCGAGTGGACTTCCACGAGATAGCACCTGAACCAAGGCTAAAGCAGTAGCCCTGGGAGGACCTGAGTGTCTCAGCGTCGTCTACCCACGAAGCGTCTGTGTGCCCAGTAAGGACCACGGGTCTGCGTCCTCCCAGCACGATTCCCATGCCCGATGTACTTGCTAGATAACGCAAAACCCTCTTAGCTGCGGACCAGTGATGTGGTCGGTGTCTCCCTGTGGCCACAAAGTGCGCCAGGATGCTGAGGGGGTATGCGAGATCTGGACGAGTGAAAGTCATCAAGTACATGAGGCAACCCATCAGCACAGGGTAAGGACCTCCAGGCTCTATAGACTCCTCAGGAACTGAAGCAGAGATATCCTATGGTCTACTAGCAGAGGCGTGGGCTGTGCAGAGGAGAACTGAAGACCAAACCTCTGAAGGACCTTGCGCACCAAGTGTGACTGTGTAAGAGTGATGCTGTCTCTGGAGATCTGCAGGCCAAGGTAGTGGTGCAGCTCTCCTAGATCAGTGCAGGTATGTCTACTCAGCAGCTCAGCCTTCAAGGAGGCCACTGCGTTTCTGTCAGCATTAGCGAAGACCAGGTTGTCTACGTAGACAAGGATGTAGAACGGAGTCTGGCCAGCACGAACGAAGAGCGAGGGGTCTGCAGACGACGGGAAGAACTGCAGGTCAGCTAGCGTAGGACGCAGCATGTCGAGCCACTCACAAGGTGCCGGAGACTGGGCACCGGAGGAGCCACTGGGTCCGAGGAGGGAAGGTACCGGTGAAGCCCTGTGGATGGCGCAAGTAGACCTGCTGGTGTAGGCTGCCCTAAAGGAACGTTGTGGAGAAGTCGAGAGAGTGTACAGTAGCTCGTAGTCCCGCTGTGCTGCTACGTGTAGTAGCGCCCGAAGAGTAGTCATCTTCGAGGTCGAGGCGAAGGTCTGAAAGAAGTCCACAACCTCGCGCTGACTGAAGCCTCTAGCCACGTAACGCACCTTGAACACTTGCGGCTTTCCAGGGGGGCGCTTCACCTTGAAGAGCCACCGGCCATCGACTACGTTCACACCAGGTGGGGGAACTACGTCGACGTAGGTGCCGGTGGATCTCTAAGATGTTATTTCTTGCTGCATGGCAGCTATCCACTGAGAGGCCCAGGGTCCCGAGGACGCCTCAGCGTAAGTGCGAGAGGTCAGGATGTCAAGAGCGTCTGGGTCACCCTCAGGGACTAGCAGCATGGAGCAGAGATGGGGAGCGGCCTCTGACAGGAAAGCAAGCTCGTACTGTCTATCCTCTAGGACGTCACTGCCAAGGGCAAGAGCACCCCCGACGGACGGAGGGAAGGCAGTGCCAGAGACCAGAGCTGTGGTGTAGTCAAGGCGTCGGGTAGAGGCGAACTCAGGGATAGCATCGACAAGAGCGTCAAGACTCGAGACAAGAACAGACGGGTCGGTAACGAGGGAGGCAAGCACCCTGGGAAGAAGAGGACGAGCGGTAGCGCAGGGTAGCACAGAACGGCGGGGGGAAGGCTATCAGCTGGGCGGCAGTGCTAGCGGTGCGATAGCTAGCCTCTAGTGCACGGAGGTGAGTGGCTAGGTCAGCTACAGTGGGGTAAGCGGCAAGATAATGGAACAGCATAGGGAGTATCAGGCGGCCAACAGAGGTGGAGGCGGGCGTGGAGTAGCGCGCAACTATTGCATCTAAGAAATCCTGGGCACTCGCGACAGAAGTGAAGCACGGAAGCTCAGACAGGGGAAGAGCATGACTAATGGCTAGCTGCGGTACGGCATCGCGGGAATCCTAGAGAGCGCGAGCAAGCGCAGCAGCAGAAAAGACCTCACCCTGAGCAGTGGTGGGGTCATCAGGGAGGGGATTAGGCGCGGGGGGCCGGAGAAGCAAGCCATCAACATGCACAGCCAGGGAGTGCCCATCCTGATGCTGATTTGTGAGGTGACGGCGTAGATCGACAAGCCAGGCGGTGAAGTCGATCGCGTGCCCCTCCGCGTCCAGGCGGAGTACAGATTCTGCCATCGTGCGACCTCAGTGACACAGCTCCACGACAGCATGGCGGCACAGCGACACAGCTACAGAGCGGCACAGCGACACAGCTACAAAGCGGCACAGCGACACAGCGGCACAGCTACACAGTGGCATAGCAGCGCGGCGGCTGAACTCCCCCGCAGGAAGACCGAGCGGAAGGCCGAGCAAGGCTCACAGGGCCAGGGGCGCGTAGGAGGACCGGCTGAGGCTCACAGAGCCAGCAGAGCGCGATGGGCCGGCAGAGCGAGAGGAAGGCCGGCGAGACGCGATGGGCCAACAGGGCTCGAAAGGGGCGGCTGGGCGCTAGGTCCAGGTGGGGCGCGTAAGGGACCAGCGGGGCTCGAGGGGCCGGCGAGGCGCAAAGGGTCCGGTGGGCGCACGAGGGGTCGGCAGGGCGCCAAGGGCCGGCGGGGCGCTAGGGCCAGGCAAGGCGCAGGAGGGACCAGCGGGTCGCGAGGGCCAGGCGGGGCGCGAGGGGCCGGCGGGGCGCGTAAGGGACCAGCGGGGCGCTAAGGGACCAGCGGGCACGCGAGGGGTCGGCGGGGCGCTAAGGGTCGGCGGGGCGCTAGGGCCAGGGGGGGCGCATGAGGGACCAGCGGGGCGCGTAAGGGACCAGCAGGCGCGCGAGGGGTCGGCAGGGCGCTAAGGGCCGGCGGGGCGCTAGGGCCAGGCGGGGCGCAGGAGGGACCAGCGGGGCGCGAGGGCTGGGCGGGGCGCGAGGGGCGCTAAGGGACCAGCGGGCGCGCGAGGGGTCGACGGGGCGCTAAGGGCCGGCGGGACGCTAGGGCCAGGCGGGGTGCGTAAGGGACCAGCGTGGCGAGGGACTAGTGGGGCGCGCTAACGGGGCTGGCGGGGCGCTAAGGACTAGCGGGGCGCACTATGGCCAGCGAGGCGCGCTAAGGGAACGGCGGGGCGCTAGTCTGGGGCGAGGGCGGAAGCGGGTGGGCGGACCTAATCTACTATGATACCATCTTAGAGTAGCAGAATGAGACTAGAAAAACAGGGTACATGGTGGTTGTCCTAAAATGCTGTACTTGCTAAGGCATGCCCCTATCTAGTCTACAGCAACATATACAAATATGTTTGATAGTCAGTAGGCCCGGACAGGAAAACTGTGGTCCATTTTAAACGAATTGTACCATATGAATGACAAAAACACTGTCTACAGTAACAAACTCTAGATAGACCACAAGCACTGCCTCAAGCTTCTCGGCCTTCTAGTACACCATGGCAGTCAGGAGGCCCGGACAGGAAAATTGTGGTCCATTCCAAAAGAATTGTACTATATGAATAACAAAAACGCTGTCTACAGTAACATACTCTAGATAGACCATAAGCACGGCCTCAAGCTTCTCGGCCTTCTGGTACTCCATGGCAGAAGCTGTGAGCAGGCCGGGGGGGAAACTGTGGTCCTTATCAATATAATTGCAGTGTACCATATGAGCTGCAGTTTTATACTCTACTCTAGATTGACCGCCCCTTTTTAAGCACGGCCTCGAGCTTCTCAGCCTTCTGGTACTCCATGGCAGTGAGGGGCCCGGGTGGGAAGACTGTGATTTCGACCACAATGTGGGGCGTGGGCAGCTCATCGAAGAGCGCTCTCACGTTGTTGCAGCAGACAGACTCCCCGTGGGCGGTTTCCCGCCGGATTTGACAGCCCTGTGTTGGAAGGAAGAAAGAAGTCGGAAAAGGGGGGAGGAGGGAGAGAAAGGCAAGAGGATGTGGGGTTTTGGCAGCTCATCCAAAAGCGCGCTCACGTTGTTGCAGCAAACAGACTCCCCATGTACAGTCTCCCTCCGGATTCGGCAGCCCTATTTTGGGAAAGGTCAGGATCAAGGGTAGGAAAGGGGAGGGGAAAGGCACAATACGGGGTGTGGGCAGCACTCTTGTAGAAGAGAGCTCGCACGTTGTTGCAGCAAACAGACTCCCCGTTTGCTGTTTCCTGGCGTATCTGGCAGCCCTATTGCAGGCAAGTTGGTATTGGGGGAGGGGAGGGGGGCGAGGGGGAGAGGGAGGAAGGAAGACAATAACCTCCACCACAATGTGGGGTGCAGGCAGCTCGTCGAAGAGCGCTCTCACGTTGTTGCAGCATACAGGCTTCCCGTGTGCTGTTTCCATCAGGATTTGGCAGCCCTATTGTGGTTGGGGTGTGAGGAGCGACTCAAGACGACATTACTATCACATGGGGAGTGAGGGGCGAAGAGAAGAAAGGGCATGGAAAATTGCAACGGATAGATTCAGCACACGGACCAGTGCCCGTACCAGCACCCGAACCAGCACCCGAACCAGCACCCGAACCAGCACCCGAACCAGCACCCGAACCAGCACCCGGACCAGCACCCCGACCAGTGCCCGAACCAGCGCCCGCATGTAGTTGCAGCAGCCAGACTCACAGTGTGCATTCTCCTTCCTGACACATCTGAAGCCATCTGGCACACCCTGTGCAAGATTACCATTTTTGAGTCGACTCAAAAGTCGACTCAAAAATAGTTGCAGCAGCCAGACTCACAGTGTACGTTCTCCTGACACATCTGAAGCCATCTGGCACACCCTGTGCCATCCGGCATCTGTGCAGTGACAAGATCGTCTTCTCAGAGCAGAGCCACGAGCGGGCGACGAACGGTTCGTCGCCCCGCATTCACATTGGGCATTTGGGCCATGGCACGTACCTTGTGGGGGGTAGCATCGGTGAAAAGGTCGTCTCCAGGGAGCAGAGCCATCAGTGCACTTTTGAGGCGCCTCAAAAGGCTCTGAGACCAGAGCCATCAGTGCACTTTTGAGGCGCCTCAAAAGGCTCTGAGACCAGAGCCATCAGTGCACTTTTGAGGCGCCTCAAAAGGCTCTGAGACCAGAGCCATCAGTGCACTTTTGAGGCGCCTCAAAAAGCCTCTGAGACCAGAGCCATCAGTGCACTTTTGAGGCGCCTCAAAAGGCTCTGAGACCAGAGCCATCAGTGCACTTTTGAGGCGCCTCAAAAGGCTCTGAGACCAGAGCCATCAGTGCACTTTTGAGGCGCCTCAAAAGGCTCTGAGACCAGAGCCATCAGTGCACTTTTGAGGCGCCTCAAAAGGCTCTGAGACCAGAGCCATCAGTGCACTTTTGAGGCGCCTCAAAAGGCTCTGAGACCAGAGCCATCAGTGCACTTTTGAGGCGCCTCAAAAGGCTCTGAGACCAGAGCCATCAGTGCACTTTTGAGGCGCCTCAAAAGGCTCTGAGACCAGAGCCATCAGTGCACTTTTGAGGCGCCTCAAAAGGCTCTGAGACCAGAGCCATCAGTGCACTTTTGAGGCGCCTCAAAAGGCTCTGAGACCAGAGCCATCAGTGCACTTTTGAGGCGCCTCAAAAGGCTCTGAGACCAGAGCCATCAGTGCACTTTTGAGGCGCCTCAAAAGGCTCTGAGACCAGAGCCATCAGTGCACTTTTGAGGCGCCTCAAAAGGCTCTGAGACCAGAGCCATCAGTGCACTTTTGAGGCGCCTCAAAAGGCTCTGAGACCAGAGCCATCAGTGCACTTTTGAGGCGCCTCAAAAGGCTCTGAGACCAGAGCCATCAGTGCACTTTTGAGGCGCCTCAAAAGGCTCTGAGACCAGAGCCATCAGTGCACTTTTGAGGCGCCTCAAAAGGCTCTGAGACCAGAGCCATCAGTGCACGCGTGCAGGGTGTGAGGGAGCCATGTGCACGGCCCCTCACGCACAGTGGGCATATGGGCTTAGCAAACGGGCACATACCTTGTGTGAAGTAGCATCGGTGAAGAGGTCGTCCTCGGACAGCAGCGCCATCAGTGAGCGCAGGGTGCGTCTCCCCTCGCTCACGTTTGGCACCCGGCACCGCCTCACCAGCGTGCCCTTGGTGCTCTCGTGCCATCTGCTGCCCGCCGCCTTCTTGGCTTCTTTGGCCGCTTTCTCCGCTGAAAACGGAAGGCAAGGTGGGAAGGGAGAGGGGGAAAGGGCCTTCAACAGTGCACCCTCGGTCCACACACCACAGCCTCACCAGCGTGCCCTTGGTGCTCTCGTGTGCCATCTGCTGCCAGCTGCCCTCTCGTGTGCCACCGGCTGCCCTCTGCCTTTTTAGCCTTCTTTGGCCGCTTTCTCCGCTGCCAATCCAAGGCAAAGTGAGAGGGACGAGGGAGAAAGGCCTTGAACCGTGCACCCTTAGTGCTCTCGTGCCATCTGCTGCCCGCCGCCTTCTTGGCCTCCTTTGCTGCTTTCTCCGCTGGTGGTTGGTTGGGAGCCCAGAGAGGAGAGAGAGAGCGAAGGGAATCAATGCCTCACCAGCGGGCCCTAGGTGGTCTCGTGCCACCTGCTGCCAGCCGCCTTCTTGGATTCTTCCGCCGCTTTCTCCGCTGGCGGCTGGGCAAACAGGCGAGAAAGGGGTTAAAGAGATGTGTGCACACGCCTCACCAGCGTACCCTTGGTGCTCTCATGCCCCCGGCTGCACGCTGCCCTCTTGGCTAGATTGGAGCCATTTTTGGGATTCTGCAAAGAACAATCCAATCCAACCCTTGGCTGCCTTCTCCGCTGCAGTGGGAAATGAAGGGTAAAAAGGGACCACTCTAGTAGTGGTGGGCAGTAGGCACGCGGCACCACTCTATCACAAGGACTCACTGTTCTCGAGCACTTTCTCCTAGCAGCATCCACGACTCACCAGAGTTCCCAAACAGCGCCTTGTTGACCCGGTCAACAGAGTCAACGAGGTCAACGCAGTCAAGCTGACCAGCACTCCCATCCAGCACTCACCGGAGTTCCCAAACAGTGCCTTGTTGACCCGGTCAACCAGGTTGATGCCACCCGTGCTCTCAGCGCCGCCAGCTGGCAGAAACGGATTGGGCGGATGGGATGGGGCACGAGGTAGGCAGGAGATGGATGGAGAATGGGTAAGCATGGGTGAGCATGGGTGAGCATGGGTGAGCATGGGTGAGCATGGTGAGCATGGTGAGCATGGTGAGCATGGGTGGGCGGGCATGGGTGAGCATGGGCATGATGACAAGATCCGCCCTACATTCACTCTAGCACGTCCTGGTGTTGACCCCTCAATCTCGCCCTATTCAGCACCCACCACTCCCAGCTCCACCAGCAGGTTGATTCCACACCGCCATTCGCGCATAGGTGCAGTGCAGTGCAGTGCAGTGCAGTACAGTGCAGTGCAGTACCATACCCAAAACGAGTCTACCTATAGGCCTCTGCTTCTCGCCCTTCTCAGCGCCCGCCAATCCCAGCTCCACCAGCAGGTTGATTCCACACCGCCATTCACGAATCTTGAGGATCTCGTTTTCCCTACCCTAGAACATCCCTGTTTCCCCACCCTCCCTGTTTCCCCACCCTCCCTGTTTTCCCCACCCTCCCTTCGCGCTGCTCACCTTTCTCAGCGCCCGCCACCCCCAGCTTCACCAGCAGGTAGGTCGCCGCCATTCGCGCACACGTGCAGCCCCACGTGCAGCCCCACGTGCAGCCCCACGTGCAGCCCCACGTGATCAGAATCGCCCTACAGTCACTCTAGAACGCTCTGGTGACACCTCAATCTCACCCCTTCCCTCAATCTCACCCCTTCCCTCAATCTCACCCTTCTCCGCGCCCGCCACTCCCAGCTTCACCAGCAGGTAGAACGCCGCCATTCGCGCCGCCCATTGCGCCGCGGACGCCGCGGACACCTGCAGCCCCGCGATCACGGCGCGCGGAACCACCGCCCCCCCCGCGGGGGACGGCGCGGAGGGGGAGGCTCGGCGGGAGGCGGCGCGGGGAAGCGGCGGCAGTGCGCGGACGGGGGTGAGCGCGAAGGCGGAGGACGAGCGGAGGGCTGCGGGAAACCATTCGCGGAGAAGGGGGAAATGGCGCGCGGAGGGGGGGAAGGTCGACCAGGGGGGAAGAGTGAGCGGAGAATATAGGGTGGGCGGAGAGCCAATGTGGGGATGAGGGGGGTTGCGGGAGCGGTTCGGAGTGAGAAAGACAGGCACGGAAAGACGAGGATCGGAGGTAAGAGTGGAAGCGGCTCAGTGGCGACGCGACATGGATTTGACGAGGGGAGGGCGGTAAGAGACGAAACGGTTGCGAATGAACGGACCGATGTCGCGACATTGCCAGGTTGACCGGGAAGTCAACGGCGAATAACCTGGCAATCAACCTGGCAATGTTGCGAAACGACGGGCGGATTCTCCCCGTCCCGCCCCACGCATGCAGAAAATAATGGGGGACATGAATCCGTGTGTAATGAGTCGATTTTTGAGTCTATTCTTGAGTCGACTTAAAAATCGACTCATTACACACTTACAAATGAATCTAAGAGACACACAAGTCTGACATTCCCTAGAGGAAAGGCGGGGGGAGAACGCCAACTCACACGAGGCGGGAAGTGAGCTGGCGGCCCGGGAGCAGCTGATGCTGCCGACTGCTGCTGACGTGGCGAGCGCTACAGCCGCCATTGCAGAGAGTACACGCAAAGCGGGAGCGAGGAGGGAGAGGTGGAAAGCGGATAGGAGGAGGGGACTGTAAATGAGTAGGGGGGCTCAAGGATTGGCCACGCGCTCTAGAGCGAACAGATATGATAGACTGAGGGAAAGCTGGAGAAAATAATCGGCAGGGGAAACAGATATGCTGGAGAGGTAATCTGAGGTGGCGGCTTGGAGATTCTCAAAAGCCCAAGCCTTGTATCGAGGTTCCTAAGATCTGGCTCCGTCTGTACCATTTGTTTCCACTTTTTTTAATGCACGGTCTGATTTTTTTACATAACTATTGCATTAAATTGGTGTTGAAAGGGAAAATAGCACCACTTCGTCAAAGTCAGAAAATTCCTCATTATGATGGACTAGGATAAAAATTTCGGTGGAACCGTCAAGTACCCTCGGACACCCTCGAAAGTAGAATGGTAGTGATGCAATGCAATGTCAAGTCATGCTCAAATTATGTATAACACAGAGGGAGAAGGGGCACGTTAAAGCGAAAGTATACAATAACTTCAAGGTTCAAAGGAGTTTGAACGTTCCGAGTAACGAACCCTTGAAACGCCCAGACCAAGGAAACTTGGTAACCCTGTTGGCCCGCGGGAGGGGGAAACTTGGTTGGTGCAAAGATGTGATTGGCTAAGCGACCGCCATACGATGCAAGTTCAACACTGCAGAAAAGCTTCACACCAACCCACCAAGATGTAAAGTGCCTTGGAGTTTATTCTACACTCCTAGGTCATGACGCAGTCCCCCGTCGAGCAAACGCAGCCCACGTCGCCCCGACGCCGCCGTTGGACCCCCGTACTGCAGCAAGTGCCCCTTTCTAGCGCCGTTATTCAGACGACGCAACCCGGCCAACATGCGCCATGCGCGATCGAATGTGGGGTCACGACACGCCGATGCGCCTATCCGAAACCGCAACCCGCGCCAAGGTGCGCCAATAACTGCCGCTCTCACTCTCCCACTCTCCTACTCACCTGCTCTCCCGCTCTCCTACTATCTCGCGCGCCAACACTAGCAACCTCCCAATCTCCCGCTCTGCCGCAGTCCTGCTCCCACTCTCCCACTCTCTTGCTCTCCTGCTCTCCTACTCTCCTGGTTTCCCTCTCACTTGCTCTCCTGCCCTCCTGCTATCCTGCTCCCCCTCTCTCCCGCTCCCCAGTCTCCCACTCTCCTGCTCTCCCGCTCTCCCGCTCCCCGTTCACCTGCTCTCCCGCTCTCCTACTCTCCCGCTCTAGCGCTCTCCCGCTCTCAGGATCTCTCGCTCGCATGCTCACCCACTCCCCCAGTCTCATGCGTTCCCTCTCTCCTGCTCTCCCGCTCTCCCACTCTCCTGCTCTCCCGCTCTACTGCTCGCCCGCCCTCCTGCTCTCCTGCTCTCCTACTCAAGAGCTCCCACGCTCTCCGGATCTCTCGCCTGCCAGTTCACCCACTCCCCCAGTCTCTTGCCTTCCCTCTCTCCTGCTCTCCTGCTCGCCCACCCTCATGCTGTCCCGCTCTCCTGCTCTGCCACAGTCATGCTCTCCCACTCTCCTGCTCTCCCGCTCTCCTCCTCTCCCGCTCCCCTGCTCCCCCAGTCTCCTACTCTTCCGCTCTTTCTGCTCTCCCGCTCTCCAGCTCTGCCGCTCTCCCACTCTCCTACTCTGCCGCAGTCCTGCTCTTCTGCTCTCCCGCTCACCTTCTCTCCTGCTCTCCTGCTCTCCTGCTCTCCCTCTCTCCTTCTCTCCTGCCCTTCTGCTATCCTGCTCTCCCGCTCTCTGGATCTCCTGCTCTCCCGCTCCCCGAGTCTCCCACTCTCCTGCTCTCCCTCTCACCCGCCCCCCTAGTCTCCTGCTCTCCCGCTCTCCTGCTCTCCCGATTTCCTGATCTACCACTCTCCCTCTCTCCTGCTCTCCCTGCTGCATCCCACACCATGCTGCATCCCACCCCTGCTGAATCCCACCCCATACTGGATCCCACCCCATGTTGCATCCCCCCCCCCCCCCACCTGCTGCATCCCACCCCTTGCTGCATCCCACCTCCTGCTGCATCCCACACCCTGCTGCATCCCACCCCCTGCTGCATCCCACCCCCTGCTGCATCCCACCCCCTGCTGCATCCCACCCCCTGCTGCATCCCACCCCTGCTGCATCATCCCATTGCAGCCGCTCTCCCGTGCTTTCCTCCCATTCACCACGCGACCTCCTTCCCTCTTGCACGCAAACCTGCCACCCCTTTATGATGCCCCACTCACATGTCACACATCGCACACAACTCTGCCGCTCTATGCTTCAGGTCAATGCCATCCCACACTCATCTCGCTTGATCATCCGACTTCCATCAGTCGCACTCTGGGGAGCATTGTGTCAAACATGTGTATTTGTCATGTTTGTATAGACTGTATAGAGTCACCTCTTAGAGGATACAAAACTTAGATATATTTGTGTGTACTCTCACTTTACCATTATTCAATTATTCTGATATGGTATCAGAGCCCAGCGGCCCCTATGCGAGATCTGGGCGAGTGCAAGTCATCAGGTACATGAGGCAACCCACCAGCTCTGCGTAGGGGCCGCTGGGCTCTACCAACTCCTCAGGCACTGGAGCGGAGAGCCTGTGGTCTACAGGCAGAGGGGTGGGCTGTGCAGAGGAGAACTGAAGGCTGAACCTCTGAAGGACCTGGCGCACCAAGTGTGACTGAGTCAGGGTGATGGTGCGCGCAGCTCTGTCCCTGGAGATCTGCAAGCCAAGGTAACGGCGCAGTTCTCCAAGGTCAGTGCAGGTGTGTCTCTTCAGCAGCTCTGCCTTCACGGAGGCCAGCGCGTCCCTGTCTGCTGTGGCAAAGACCAGGTCGTCGACGTAAACGAGGATGTAGAACGGAGTCTGGCCAGCACGAACGAAGTGTGAAGGGTCTGCAGAAGACGGAAAGAACTGCAGGTCAGCAAGCGTAGCACGCAGAGTGTCGTGCCACTCACGGGGAGCCTGGCGCAGGCCGTAGACGGGGCGCCGCAGGAGCCACTGGGTCCCAGGAGGGAAGGTGCCAGTAAAGCCCTGAGGGCGGCGCAGGTAGACCTGCTCGTGTAGGCTGCCCTGAAGGAAGGCAGTGGAGAAGTCGAGGGAGTGAAGCTCGTAGTCACGCTGAGCAGCTAGGTGTAACAGAACCCGAAGAGTAGTCATCTTCGGGGTCGGAGCGAAAGTCTGGAAGAAGTCCACCCCCTCGCGCTGACTGAAGCCTCTAGCCACATAGCGCGCCTTGAACACAGGCGGCTCTCCAGGAGGGCGCTTCACCTTGAAGAGCCAGCGGCCATCGACTACGTTCACCCCAGGTGGGGGAACTGCGTCGACGAAGGTGCCGGTGGATCTCCAAGATGCCATCTCCTGCTCCATGGCAGCTATCCACTGCGAGGCCCAGGGTCCCGAAGTCGCCTCAGCGTAAGTGCGAGGGGTCGGGATGTCGAAAGCGTCTGGGTCACCCTCAGGGACTAGCAGCATGGAACAGAGATGGGGAGCAGCCTCGGAGAGGAAAGCAAGCTCGAACTGGCGGTCCTCCAGGACGTCACTGCCAAGGGCAGGAGCACCCCCGACAGACGGAGGACAGGCAGGGTCAGAGACCAGAGCGGTGGCGTAGTCAAGGCGGCGGGTAGAGGCGAAGTCAGCGACAGCAGCGACAAGAGCGTCAAGGCACGAGACTGGAACAGACGGGTCGGTAACGAGAGAGGCAAGGACCCGAGGAACGAGAGGACGAGCGGCACGAAGGTAGTCGGACAGCGGGGGGGGCGCAACAACAAGGGAGGACGGAGGAGGCGACGGCAGAAGGGGAGGACGAGACGCGTGTGAACGAAGCAACATAGGGTGGGAGCGCAGGACAGGCGAGGCAGGACGAGCACGAGAGGGACGGTGAGACCAGACGTGCGATGGAGGAGTCGGGTCAGGAGACAGGGGAGGGGACACAGGAGGGGAACGAGGGGGGAGACGGGCCGGGGACGAGTCCGGCGGAGGGAAAACAGGGCCGTAGACAGGAAGAGGAGGAGACGGTCGGGGAGGAACCGACGCAGGGTCGGGGGACGGAAGGCCGAGCAGGCGAAGGGCGGACACCGGCGGGGACTGCTGCTGCGGCGGCACAACGGCGACAGCTGGACCGCAAGCTGCTCCTCGGCTACCACCGGCACTCTCCAAACCCGCACCCCCAGAGGGACCACCCTCAGGGCGACCGGGACGAGCACCCCCAGAGTCAGCGAACGGAGGCTGCGACTGCGGCGGCAGCGGCGACGGCGACGGCTGCAGTGGCGGCAGGGACGGCGGAGGAGGGGACTGGGGAGGGGACACCTGGGGAGGGGCGGCCGGCGAGGACTGCACCGGAGGGCCACCAGAGTCAGAAGACTCCTCAACCGGGTCCACGGACGGAAGGGGGGTGACATGGGAGACACCAGAGGGGGCGGGACGGGGAGGAGGAGGAGGAGGGGCAGGGACTACCGGGGAAGGGGTGACCAGGAACAGGGGGGGGGTAACCGGGGGACCACGGTGGGGGAAGCGGCGGTAGTAGGAGACGGACTCGTCAAAGGTGACGTCACGAGAGTGAAATAAGCGGTGAGACGGCGGGTGGTAAAAGTGCCAGTCGGACGCGTCAAGGGGAAAACCGAGGAAGACGCAGGGAAGGGTGCGGGCAGTGAGCTTGTCCGTGCCGGAGGCACGGATGTGAGCAAGGCAGCCCCAGACGTGGAACGCAGACGCGTCACCAGGAGACCCAGTCCACAGATGGGTCGGCAAAACCTGCGGCTGCTGAGGGTGCGGCCACAGGTTAAGCTGGTGAGAAGCGTAGCGCACAGCGAACGGCCACAGAAAATGGGGTGCACCGGCATGGACCATGGAGGTGCGAGCGACCTCCATGACCAAGCCGATGCGTCGCTCAGCGACCCCATTCTGCTGTGGGGAGTCCGGTAGGGTGAACGTCTGGGTGATGCCCTCCGCACGACAAAAGCGACCAAGGACACCTGAGGCAAACTCGCCACCACGGTCTGAGTGAAGACGCAAGACAGGGAGACCGCGGTGGACACGCGCAGAGACAAGCCAGGGGATGAGGGCGCCAGGCACGTCGGCCTTGCGCTCCAGGGGAAAGACTGTGGTGTAACGAGTGAAGTCGTCGACAAGCACAAGGAAGTAGCGCTCG